CACACTCTATTGATCACTTTTTAGTGGGGGGGCTCTCATACCCCATATCATCCTAGAAAGGTCACATACCTCTCATACTTCAATACGACCACTCTTTAGATAATATAATTGGTCTCTCTAGTACAATAGCACCACTTCTTTGGGTCTATCCTATTTACTCCTTAGAAATTTTTCTAAGTATAAGTGTTGATATAAATACATCTCCCTAGTAACTTAGAAAATTAAGTATAGGTTCCTATTTCATAAATCCCTATTATCCACTTAGAAATTTTCTAAATACGAGTTCTTTTATAGTTCCCCTCTATATACTTAGAGATTCATTTTTTTCAGCCATTGTGTCTACCCCTACACATAGGGCTCTTTAGTATATTATTGCGAGTTTTCACTCAATTTTCATGTAAAGAAAACTCGACAAAACTTATGGAGTTTTACTAGGAAATTTTAAAAATCTTTTCATACAAATATCACAAAAATTTAGGGGGTTACTATGAAACCTAAATTTAATAGGCCTAAAAAATCATAAAAGGCCTAAAAAAATCCTTATAGGCTTGGGTTATCATGTTTAAACCTAACTACTACCAAGGTGCATGGACTTGGGTATGGTATTCAAGGCCTATGCTTGGCGTGCTACCTAGCACCCATATAGGCTTAGGCCACCATGCCCAAGCTCAATGTGTTTGGGTCTATATAGCGTGTCTGGATCTATTTTTCACCTCTAATGGGATTAGACACCTTGCTCGAGCCCCACACTCCCTTGAGAATTTTTTCAAGATCCCACGCGAGTTCTTCAGATTTTATATTGATCCATTATGTAAAAAGACAAAACTTATAGGTTCTAAATACAATTGAATCCTTTTAACTTTAGGTTCACAATCTCTTCATTCTTAATATTTGTAACACATATATTTTTAGAGCTTATCTCTCTAAAATATCATTGAACTTTCTCTCTATAAAGTTACTAACTTAAACATCTAAAAGTCCATACTTTCATCAAATGAGGCCTTTTACGGGTACCAACCATCAACCACTTAGACTTTTCGTATCAAGCCATTAGACACTTTGACTATAAAAAATGGATCATATTGCTTAAACTAAGAAATCGATTGATTATCCAACACATTAGTTTTTTTCCTAAGTATCTTTGATTTTAAGATCTCCTCACTTTATTATTTCTCTTTATATCCTTCTTTATATGTGCAAATTATCAACTATAGTTAAAATATGTAGCCAACCTCTCCAATTTAAACACTAATGATTAGTACTTAAAAGTGCATTTTTATCATGGTTTTATATTATCATTTTGCACTTGAAGTATCAATAACTCCTTAACTAAAATATGTTTTATAATAATGTATCTAATAAGATAAGATACCTATAATTTGTGGTAAATATCTATTTTTAATGCAGGCCTATCACAGAAATGAAAGGATTGATTGATGACTTGAAGAACTTAAATTGCAAGGATAAAGAGATGGCCAAACTTAGAAAAGAGATGTCGGTGCAATCCAAACCGGAACACTGTTCGGTAATTGGGTCATATCTAGAGCTATATATCTCAGATTTAGGTCCAATTTATATGGATGGAAAGGTAAGACATAGGCCTACAACTTTCATATGGAGCCCAAGATCTAAAAAGGCCATTATCAAGTCCAAATTGTAGCAACAACAAAGAAGCCCGAATCTGTCTTCCAGCCCGAGCACTGTTCGGTATTTTGGCCATATCTGGAGTTCTAGAAGTCCAAATGAGCTGAAATTTTTACACAAGAAAGCTGAGACAATTGCCTACAACTTTCATGTTTACAACTGGCTCCAATTTTGACGTTATCAATGACGTTTTGGGCAGACAAGAGAAGATAAGGATTGTCACCAAGTCAAAAGTTGGTCACCCACTTATCAATTAGTCATCAAATCAATAGTTCCCATTTTTGGCCTATAAAAGGAGGCATTTGCCATGCATTTAGGCATCTTGATTTCCAGATCAAGATCATGCTCTTCCTTTCTCTCTTTGTATTTTTTATGCTTTGTTTTCATTAATATTAAGTTTATGCCTTTCATTTCCTTTCCTTTACTTAGTTAACTTTTATGTTCTTATTTTGTTTATCTATTTTGCTTTCTTTCATTATGTCTAGCTAAGTTAATTATGTCAAGGTGAAAAGGTTACACTAATGGTGTAAGAATAAGTATAATGTAAACTTAATATGGACTTTAATGTTTGATACTAACATGTTTTATATTTGCTATCTTGTTCACTCTTTAATACTTTGCTTGTTAAATGACTAATCTTGATTTATGTTACATAACACTTGGTACAACAAATGTTTGGCACTTTCATAGCCCATAATGTATGGTATAACCGACACCTGAGCTATGAAAGGAACTTGATTTGTTGTTAACATAAGTTATAATCATGAATTTTATAATTTGTACAATTAACCTCCTTGTGGTTCGACCCCGGTCTTGCCGGGTTATTTATTACTTCGACACTCCTGCACTTAGGAGAAGACATCAATCTTTTAGTCATGTCAACTAACATGTTTTGTATAATTCAATTCATTTTTTAATCGAATTCCTCTCTTACATTTCAACATGAAATTTAAAGGTTTTTAGAAAAGTGATATAATGAAGAATTTTACAATAAAAGTAGCATTATAATTCACCAATTTGAGATCTATCACATGCGTGCATGGAAACTTATTACAGATACCTAGACTAGATGGATGGGTTAGGGTTGGAGTAAAATTGAACAATGAAGCTTTCAGGTTCATAAACATAATATCAACCATAAACAAATATGTGAAAATATTAGTAGGATATATAATGTTTTGGGATATCAGAAACGAAGATAGTTGAAACAAGATAAAAAAGAAAACGAAGGCCTAATTATGTTTGATAACAGTGTATAAGACAAAGTAGCTATTTTTGTATTATATTTGGTTATGATAAACAATATATATATATATATATATATATATAACATATTTTATCCTTAACATATATTACTATCAAATTTACATATTTTAAAAAATAATTAGATGTTATCTTATTTGTTTATATTAAATATTGAAATCAATAATATTATAATAACCCCAATTATAAAACCTAGATTGGCCTGGTGGGTTAACTTGAGGCCTAGATCGGTCTGGAGTTTAAATAAAAAATAGAGAAATTGTTGCCCCAACCTAACTAGATTAAGACCCAAGTTAATCTATGACTAGGTTGATCCGGGACAAAATATGGGTAAAAAACTAGTTGAATTTTATTTGACTTTTTTGGTCAAAATAATGTTGTTTTAATTCCTTTAAAAAATAATTAGGTCAACCCGGGTTGACCATCTTGACTTGTGACTTAGACTTTATCTCTTGTCAACTCTTGATTTGGATTTTAAAATTATAATAATAATTATTTTTATACATGTATTGATTCTGGTCAACCTATGTTCATACTTTCTATTTGTGATTCAAGCCTTGCTACGAGTTAACCCCCGAGTCAGATTTTAAAACTATGATAATAACTATTTTTATCTTTACATTTACTTGAATCATTATTCAACCTAACTTATGACTCAAGCTTTGTCCTGGGTCGACTATTGAGTTAAATTTTTAAAATTGTGATAATAACTACTTTTATTTTTATGTTGATTTGGGTCGACCCGAGTAAAGCCTCTTGACTAATAACTCAGGTCTTGCCTCGAATCGACTCTCGATATAAGTTTTAAAACTGTGATAATAACTACTTTTATCCTTACATGTTTTAGTTGAATAATTTTAGAATTAGAAGTTTCTAACAATAATATTTTGAAAATAAAAAAAATATTATTTCTTGAAACATATTATTTTCTATTTTGAAAGTTGAAAAAATCGCTCTAGAATTATGTAATAAATAAATTTATTTTTATTTTTCTAATCAAATACATTTCTATATTTATTATCTAAGTTCCTTTTATTCTAAAATAATAACCAAACACTGTATAAGAATTGAGATTGAGGTCATCCTAGTTGTAACCCTTGTACCATAATTTCAGGCATGCTGAATCCGCGATCACATGCTGTTTCTCTGCAGCACAACTCACATGGATAAGATGTCCGCTATATGTTGCCGCTGGTGTACATATACGTGGATGATGAGTTGACCAAAATGTCGAATGGTTGTTCATGAGTTTAAATGATCAAAATCTAAAACTTGAAGGACCAGAGTGGGCTGTGCTTGTCCTTCCTCTGCTAAGACTAAGAATGAATGCGTCTGAGCTTGCTTCAGGATTTATCACATGAAGTCTTAAAACACGTGAGCACAACCCTTGTCTGCCTAGACCTGTTTGAGGCTGCGCATGTTATTATTATTATTATTTTGAATTTTTATTGTGAGTTTGCAAGTTGCGGGTTATATTTAGACTTGTTTTCTTGAGGTGTCCTCCCATGATTCCAATAATTTGGTCATCGGGAATTGCTAGTGGAGGAAAGAGCATCCAAGAACAGGTTTTTCTTTAAGAAAGGGATGCTTTAGATCTATTGCACCTAACCATCAATAATGTGGTCTGTGTTCTCTTTTTTCAATGTTTTTAGACAATGGTTGTTCCTCTCACTTGACATCTGCATGTGTCATGTTAGAAGACCTTGTAGCTTAATTTACGCAGATCTTTAAATTGGGATTTACATCCCTTTTGTTTATCTACGCTGGAAACTAAATATATAGGTTGGATTAAGACATTTCATCAAGCTAATATCTGTGCTGCTTCCTATCTCCCAAATAATCATCAATAGTTAGCGATTATCACTGTAAATTTTGTTTTCTTTCATCAAATGGTTACCAAATACCATAATCTTTTATGGTAGGTGAAGCTTGCAACATATTTTTTTTTTTCTGAAACATAGTTGATTTGTTCATATGATTGTATCATTAGTTATTTATTACATTATATTCTAAAATAAACTTGTAATGGGGAATTAGTACACGATGATAGGTGATGACTCAAAACTAAGGTCAAATAAAATATCTGCTTTGGAAGAAGAAGAAGAAGAAGAAGAAGAAAACTTCAAAATGAAACCTCAACGTTGATGGTGTCCTTGATTTACTTCAAATAGTAAGGAAAGGAAGACTTGATAAAGATGTGGGTCTGTTTGGTGCCGAGGACACCCGAGAAGCTCCTTTACTTCTATTGATTCATAAATTTACTCCAGAGCTCCAACCTTTGCTTAGCATGCAAATTTGGTGCTGCTACTTAAATCAACAATCTTTAGTTGAAGAAAAGACAGCTTAATTACCCTCCCTCTCTCTCCCTCCCTCCCCCCTCTCTCATGCGTTGACCATCTATTATTGACACTATAGCAAAAATGGAGTGGTTTTGAGTGCTGAACCTAAACCCATTAACTTTGGAGTGAGCCACCGAATCAACCAAGAACTTTCAGGTCACCAAAACTGTCGAAGTCCACATTAAGGGGCCCACTGCAACTGTTTATCCAGAGAGATAGGCTGGTATAAAAAAGGACGCACACAACCCTCTCAAGAATCTGTTCCATGAAAGAAAAGATAACAGTATGTCCAAAGTCTGGAATCCCAAAATTTTCCTTCATTTTCTCAAGAACCAAACGTCATTTTTAGCCGAACAACCTGTCTATGTCTCCCCTCTCTGGTTTTTCTCTGTTGGAGTTGTTTCTACTTTGCAGTCTAGAGGTAATAATGATATAACCTTTACAATATTTACTTTCTCATTGGATTCGTTTTTTTCTCTTTGCACTAGAAATTAATCCTTATTTATCAAAACTTCTTGAATCTCATGTCTCATGTTCTAGATAGATAGATAGATAGATATTGAGTGTCATACACAAGATAATTATCTTGAGTTAAGGAAAAAAAATGCATGGTTTTAAGCTCTTTGATAGATTCAAGAGCACACAAGTCCATGCTTTAAGCCCCCAAGATAACAACTCCGGTTCAAGAGGAAAACTTCCAAAATCTAAATTTACAATCTCTGGCTCAGGAGCTCAAGCTTTACTTCCTTATGGACTCCCAACAACTGAGCTCCTTGAACCCCCTATAGACTATTACTTGCAGCCTATAGACTATGTGGAATCTTTAGCTGAAATTCATAGACGCCTGAATACTTGCTCACTAACGGATAAGTCAATATTATGCATCGAGCAGTATTCGATTTTGCGAGGATTAGGTGATCCTAAGTTGCTTAGAAGGTGCCTTTGCGCAGCGAGGCAATATGCTTTTGATGTGCACTCGAAGGCAGTGCTTTCTGCTTGGTTAAGGTTTGAGAGGAGAGAAGATGAGTTTATTGGTGTGTCATCAAAGGATTGTAGTGGGTACATCCTTGAATGTCCAATGGCTGCTTTGGTTTCTGGATACGATCCGAACTCGATTTATGATCGTTGCCAATGTTTTCAAGATGATCTTGAGGCATTTCGTAGTCAAATATCGGTGGGGAATGAGAGCTCGAGTTTGGAGGAGGATGGTGATGTTTCATTTTGCATTGGTGATAATGAGAGCTCGAGTTTGGAGGAGAATGGTGATGTTTCATTTTGCATTGGTGATGAGCTGGTTCATTGTGTTAGATTCAAAATTGCTTCTCTTTCGGGCCCATTTAAGGCTATGCTATATGGTAGCTTTGTGGAGTCAAGAAGAGATAAGATTGATTTTTCGAAGACTGGGATATCAGTGGAGGGGATGAGAGCAGTGGAAGTGTACAGTAGGACTAGGAGAGTTGATTTGTTTTGCCCTGCGATTGTTTTGGAGTTACTTTCTTTTGCAAACATGTTTTGTTGTGAGGAGTTGAAATGTGTTTGTGATGCTCATTTGGCTTCGTTGGTCTGTGGGATTGAGGATGCATTGATTCTTATTAATCATGCCTTGGAAGAAAGGGCAAATCTTCTCGTAGCCTCTTGCTTACAGGTGTTTCTAAGAGAGCTTCCAAACTCTCTGTATAACCACAAAGTGAGGGGTGTTTTTTGTATCCCGGAGGCAAGGGAGAGATTGGCCATGCTGGGGCACGCTTCATTCTTCCTCTATTATTTCCTGAGCCAGGTTGCTATGGAGGAGAATATGGCACTGAGCACAACAGTGATGTTATTGGAGGGGTTGGAAGAGTTTGCTACAGAAAAGTGGCAGAAAGCACTTGCTTTGCATCAACTAGGTTGTGTAATGCTTGAGAGAAAAGAATACAAGGGTGCCCAATTTTATTTTGAGGCAGCTGTTGATGCAGGTCATGTTTATTCATTAGCAGGTGTTGCTAGGACCAAATACAAACAAGGGCAACAGTATTCAGCATTTAGGTTGATGAACTCTCTTATTTTTGAATATAAACCATTAGGGTGGATGTACCAAGAGCGATCTCTGTATGGTGTTGGACGGGAGAAAATAATGGATTTGAATACTGCAACTGAACTGGATCCAACCCTTTCATTTCCATTCAAATTCAGAGCTGTTATGAAGGTGGAAGAGAAACAGATTAGGGCAGCTATTCAAGAGATTGATAAAATTATCAGGTTCAAGCTCTCACCTGATTGTCTTGAGTTGAGGGCATGGTTTTTCATTGCTCTTCAAGATTATGAAACTGCTTTGAGGGATATTCGAGCATTATTAACCTTGAAGCCTAATTACATGATGTTCCATGGGAAGGTGAGTGGAGATCACTTGGTTGAGCTTCTCAGCCATCGCGTTCGGCAATGGAGTATGGCTGACTGCTGGATGCAACTTTACGAAAGATGGTCTTCTGTTGATGACATTGGCTCTCTGGCTGTCATACATCAGATGCTGGTAAATGATCCTGCAAAGAGCCTACTATGGTTTCGACAATCTTTGCTTCTTTTGCGGTAAGTTTTGTGATGGAAAAACTTTTTATTTAGCTCAAGCAGCTGCACTATTATGCAGTTTAATCATCATCAAGTTTGACTTCTAATAAGCTTATACCATTTTGCATTACTTTATTTGTTTAAAATTCTGCTCTGCAATCTTTGAAAACCTGCATCCCTTGCATGTTTTTGTGTATCAATCTCATTTTTCCTTCCATCAGATAATAAACCCGTAGCCAGCTTGAAAACATTATGTTTTTGTACATTTTATCTAATAAACTCATGCAATTCATTGCATGAATAATGTGTTAACAATGAAGCGATCCTACTTTTTCCTGATCTGATATAGTGATTCTAAATCTTATGTTCATTTTTGTTTCTTTTGTTTCATTGTCTACACATCCTTCCTTTTATGCACTTCTGGAACAAGAAGGAATCTTTCCAGTACATGTAGCATAATGAATTTGGACTTGTCATGTAGATGTTTGACCTTGTTATATTCAATAACATGACATATACCACTGGATAACTTAATGCTCTAGGTTAAATTGTCAGAAGGCAGCAATGCGCTGTCTGCGATTGGCTAGAAATCATTCCAGTTCTGTGCATGAACGACTGATATATGAAGGATGGCTTTTATATGACACTGATCATCGTGAAGAAGCTCTCTCTAAAGCTGAGAAATCCATTTCGATCCAGAGGTCATTTGAAGCTTTCTTCCTTAAGGCATATACATTAGCTGATACAAATCTGGATCCTGAATCTTCATCTACTGTCATCCAACTTCTGGAGGAAGCTCTTAGATGCCCTTCAGATGGTCTTAGGAAAGGACAAGTGAGTAATGGCTATACCAGTATGTTTCTCATATGCTCATTTGTGCTCGATGTACTTGTTTGATATGAGCATTGATAATATGCAGGCATTAAATAATTTAGGAAGTATTTATGTGGATTGTGGTAAGCTGGATCAGGCTGCAGACTGCTACAAGAATGCCCTTAACATCAAGCACACAAGAGCTCATCAAGGTCTGGCACGTGTCTATCATATAAAAAATCAACGAAAAGCTGCATTTGATGAGATGACCAAGCTAATAGAGAAGGCACATTACAGTGCATCAGCATATGAGAAACGATCAGAATACTGTGACCGCGAGAAGGCAAAAGACGACCTTAAGATGGCAACACTTCTGGATCCTCTAAGAACATACCCATACAGATACAGAGCAGCTGGTAATCAGCACCACTCCTTTTCAGAAATTCTGCCCCCTTTCGATGCAACTCCTCATAAGTTTACACTTATTTCAATGCCATTCTATTGACTTCATTTTTCTTCTCTTTGCTTGAACACAATTATTGACTGTGAAATCAAAACTCTTACTCTTATTCTCAGTGCTAATGGATGACCAAAAGGAAGCTGAAGCTCTAGAAGAGCTTACTAAGGCCATAGCTTTCAAGCCTGAGTTGCAAATGCTCCATCTTCGAGCAGCATTTTATGAATCAATGGGAGACAAAACCTCTGCTCTTCAAGATTGTGAGGCAGCTCTCTGCCTGGACCCAAACCACTCAGACACACTTGATCTGTATAATAGAACACAAGACCAAGCTACACGAAGCATTTGAGCTTTTCTTTTTCATTTTTTTGAAATCATGGCCTATCAGACATCCAGCGACAAAACCATCCCAGCTATGAGAAGGAAGGACTGCATAAAGAAGCTGTAATGAACTCATTAGTATATACATCTTAATGGTATTGATGATAGAGCTAGAAAAGAGTGTTGCAAACTGCATTTGGACAATGCCCTTGCAGATAGTTATTTACAGTCTGCATCAAGAAGCTGTAATGAACTCATTAGTATATAGATCTTAATGGTATTGATGATAGAGCTAGAAAAGAGAGTTGCAAACTGCATTTAAACAATGTCCCTCGCAGATCGTTCTGTATAGGCATGACCACATGATCGATTAGTGGTATGGGATTGATGCTGGAAGGGTTCATGTACAGCAACTTCATGCTATTGATACTATAGAAAGTTACAGGTTTCACAATTAATCTCTCATTAGAAACAGGAATTATTTTCCTTCTTCCTCCTTGAGTTCATTCGTGTACATGAACAAAAGCCAGGGTAGGGATTTAAATCTTTTTGTTGTGTCATGCTTTTCTTTAAACTAAAGATGGCAGAGGTGATGTTCTCGAGTTAACTACTGTTGTAGTTCTGCATTTCTCCAGCTGACCACTTTCTGGTTTCTACTTCTTTTCTCTTCTATATTTCCATACCTAACTTGCATTTTGGCCGAGTGAGCTCATAAGCAGTAACTATAAGGAAGGTTGATTTTTTACTGTGACAGATCTGGGGCCTGAGATTTCTCCATATGCTTCGGACCGCCCCCTAACAATAAATGCATACAAAGTCATAAACAAGGGTGATAGGTGTTTGGAGGTTACAGCAGTGGTAGACTTTGACTCAAATTTTTCATCCTAGAGTATTTGCAACTGGTAATATTCAAAAACTGACCTTTTTTTATTTCGCAAGTATACTTACAGATACTTGAATTTTATACAGACTTTGGCATGGGAGAAAGAACAAAGCAATGGACAGACAAGAGGTCCCCCTTCCTCAGCTATATACAAACATCATGCTTACGTTAATTAGATACAAGTATTATCTACCCTATAAAGCACTGCTTCTGAGAACCAGCAAGAGAATCAGGGAAAACAGGGCATGAAAAGTACACTTGAATCCGAATTTCAGACTGAGTTAACCTCGCAACTTCCTTCAGTAGACATAATTTCAAGTTCTGCCCACCAGAGGGGTGATAATTTTGGTGTTGCTCCATCAGGTCCCACTGATGTGATCTCTTTTAACTTGGCTGCAATCTCTTTCATCGTTGGTCTATGCTTTGGATCAGGATGGATGCAATTTCTTATGACTTCCGACAACTTCTCAAGCTCTTCCTCTTGGAAAGATTTTAGAGTTGGATCCACCTTTTCTTTTAATGGTTGCTCTCCTCTCAGGTAATCTGATGCCCAGTCAGCAAGATTGTCCACTGCATATGGGATCCTACCGGTTATCATTTCAAACAAAATTACCCCAAAACTGTAAATATTGCTCTCTGGATCTGATGATTGTGATTCTAGAAGCTCCATGGATGGTGACCCAGTCTTTGCTGCTGTTGCATCATTCCAGAAACTGAAATCTGATATTTTGGCTGCATAGTCTTCAGTTAGATATATTGACGATGATTGCAGGTTTTTATGGGCTACAGGTGGAGTTAGTTGATGCATGTATTCGAGGCAATATGCCACGCCCATTGCTATTCGTAGTCTCATTCCCCAGTCCAAGTGTTCGGCTTCTTTTACTACAAGAAATCAAGAATTCAACTGTCATTCATACCATAAAACAGTACTATAGGTCAGTTACTGAAACTTCAATGACCTCTAAATGCTATGATGCAAATGTACTGCAGCCATCAAGTATGCAGTCTAACTGAGAAGTAGAACGGCTTCCTTTGTATATTGTTGCAAAATACAAGGATATGAATATTATTTGCAGTTCTGAGAGAGTACTAAATGAATAGGAAAAATCCAGTTCTTCTTTGTTGCAAAATACAAGGATATGAATATGATTTGCAGTTCTGAGAAAGTACTAAATGAATAGGAAAAATCCAGTTCTTCTTTTTTTCTTTTTCTTTTCTTCCTTTTATCATCTTTTGAGGTGCATAGTCAGTTCTATGCTAATAAAAATTCAGTGCTAGTTCACAGATTGAACAAAAGCCGGCACTGATATTTTCAATGAGCACACGTCCTATAAAATGCCATACTAATTTAATGATCCAGCAGAATGTAACTATATCTTAGATATGATCACTTGACGAATTCAGAAGAGGCATAAAAATGTAAGGTACTTACCGTGCAGATGTTCAAACAGAGTTCCATTTGGAGCGTATTCAAAAACCATTATTCTTGTGAAAGGCTCATCTTCTTCACAAAATCCAATAAGGTTGACAAAATTCTTGTGGTTCATTTTCGATAATGTGTCAATCTGAAAGATTAGCAAAATTAGCATCTACGGGAGCCAATATTAAATGGATGAAGCTAGCAAATTTCAATGTCAAGTACCTTATTTCTGAATTGGGCTTCCAAGTTTTTCGACCATTCTTCACGCGATTTTACTGCAGTAGATGTCACAGCTATTTCAACCCCACTAGATAGTGTCCCCTTGTACACTGTGCCATCTGAAAAGGGGCCAATAATGTTACTGAAATCTTCGCAAGCGACCTCAAGTTCTGGTCTCTTGAGTTTTGGTACACCTGAAAAGACACATTACCAAAAATCAGAAAAGACAAGATTGAATCAAAATCTATACATGTCATTTGTGGAAGCAGCAGATGCTAAAGCTGTGGTTACTGAGCTGTGTTAATCCACAAATTTTATGCCTCCGTGCTTGGCTATTTCAGGGTTTTGTGTGCTCGCACAAGTGCATGTGATCCTTACAAAAAAGAAGATTTACCCGTTACAAATGCCTTTTGTAGCTGCCCACTTAAACCTGTGGCCCAAGGTTTGACAGTGACTACCTTGCTTCTTCTAAAGAGAAAAAAGCCAACGGTTGAAATCAGAGCAAACATCGAGCCAGCAATAACACCAGCAATGAGAACAGTGTGATTTTTTGACTTTGAACGCTCCAAATGACTTGGACTTGGAGCAGGGACCGTTGACAGCCCATCATGTTGTGGTTGTCCAATAAAGACACGTGGTTCATTTTTTGGAGCAGGTGAAGCTGGAGTTGGTGCAATCATGAGTGAGGGTGAAGGAGGCAAAGGAAGACTGGAGGGGGATTCTGCTGGAGAAAATGATGGAGACTCCGAAGGAGATGGTGATGGGGAGAATGATGGAGACGGTGATAAAGACGGTGAGTCTGAGGGTGCCATTGATGGTGATGGTTGAGATCCGGATGGTGACAATAAAGATGGAGAAGGCGATGCTTCAGAACCACTTTGATTAGCTTTATGACGATTGTTGTCTGTGGGTGGATTTGGAGGATCTGCCACCTGCAGCAGCATCCGGTGAGCTATATTTCTAGATTGAACATTGTTCCTGACAAATAAAATAAGTGTTGTCAGGAAGCTGGTGGGAAGTTAATTTAAGTTGAGAACTGAAAGCACTTGTTAGTGTAAACTAAACTAAACTAATCAAGTAGCAGATTCCACGAAATTGAAATCAGGGGAAAACTGAGGCACACAAAAGTCGCTTCATGTTTCGCCTTGCATACACCGGAGGAGGTCCTCTGTTTGCATTAGCAAATTTGGGAGATGGCAGAATAAATCAAAAGCTAGATTGTACATTGTGATTAACTAGGATGTCAGTTCCTTTGGAATTGATTTTATGGCCATTGCATTCTCCTATAAGTTGCTTTAGCTTTTTCGTCTTTTCCTTTTAGTTATTATTCCAATATCATATCCACCTCCCCTCTCATAAGCCACCACTTCCTCTCCCACTTTTTCTGCCTTGACATCTCTATAGCGGCTGCATCAAGTATCAGCTTGTAGGAATAACAGTAATAGCACTTGCTTACCAGGTAATGTCTCTGCAGCAACAGGAAGCTCTTAACTGATTTTCATCTGCCTGAACTTCAGAAAGCACCTTGAGGTCATTTACTTCAGGAGATATGCCATCTAGAAACTTGTTATTGTCAAGCAAGCTGCAATAAGGATCAGAGATGATTTAGTCAAACCATTCAAGCTTAAGAAGGAAAAAACTAAGTAATATAATCGGCCAGGATGAATTAACTTACAGGGTAGTCAGTGATAGATTATTTGCAAAAAAGTCAGAAGGAAATGGTCCACTAAAGTTATTATATCCCAAGTCCAACACCTCCAGCTCCTCCAGCTCTCCAATCTCTCGAGGAATGTTTCCGTAGAAAGAATTGTTGCGTAAATTTCTGAATGGAAAATGTGAATTAGATAAAAACCCATAAAATGGTTTCCAAAGATCAAATCCAGGCTGAGGTTTAAACTTACAATGATTTTAAGTAAGCTAGTCTCCCAAGTTCAGGTGCCAGTGTCCCTCCAAGACAGAGATCTGTCAAATGCCTACAAGTTGAACATTTCTGACTCTAAGGAAATAGAAAAGAAAAAAAAAAAAACTTTGCTACTAAGAGGAGAAATGACTGGATGTTTGATACATGCTAAATGATAATAAACTTCATAATTACACCAGATAATTACTGCATAAATGGGGTAAGATTAGCATACGAAAAGGTGAAAAAGAAGAGTATAGATGACATGATAAAATCACAAAAGGAAGAAAAAGAAAAGCTAGAATTGCTCCATGGAGGCCAGCATTATTATGAACTGTCCATGGAGACATCATACACTGCATTAAATAGTTTGTCATCTGATCACTTATAGGGAAAGCTTTATACCATGATCGATTCTGCACCAACCAAGTACAATGACTGACAACAAAGCAGACTCTATGTTTTCCTTCACTTCAAGTTCATCCAACAATTAAACTCAATATGACAGCTCAAGTCTGGATTTTGATCCAACATTTCTGACTTTAGAATCTGCTTGGATAAAGTTAACATTATTCACGAGCATTTCACATTTCCAGTAATATACAAGTGGAATTTACCACCTCTAAACACATTGGATCTTTGATTCAACTAAATGGACCATCCAAAATTACAAATTTAATTAACTTGCAAGCAAAAAGGATAAAGATATACTCCTGTAGGATTGGAATGCTTGATTACTTAATATTTGACACTTTTCTTACTTACAAGATCACAACTTGGCCATCAGAGCATTCGACACCAAACCAAGAACAAGGATCAATATCTCCATCTTTCTCAATCCAATTCGATAAAGCTCCAAGTGGATCTCTCTCCACCATCTCTCTAAACCTCAACAAAGCCAAACCTGCACCATTTTCAAACACAATCACATTTCTATATAGAAGAACACCAACTTTAACAAAGCTGTAAGGACATGCCAAACAAAAGCTCGTAGCTTTATGGACATAAAACGTAGCATAACTCATCACCTTCCGTGTTTAGAGACCAACAAAAGCTCAAGCTTTGCTGCAGTAACAACAGAACCAGCATCAAAATCTTCATGCGAAGCTTCACAGTACTGTTCGATCTCCACCACCCATCCATCATTAAAAAGATAGTCAACAACTTGTGAAAGTAATTCTTGGGGTAGAAATATGGATCAAAAACACACTAGGGAAATAAAGAAAACAAAAACAGGGAGGGGTGGGGGGGAGCTTGACGGAGTCTTGGGTTGGCAAGTGGAGCTAGCTAATTTAGAAGAGAAGAGAAGAAAGCGCGTGCGTATGGGGCGATTATAAACGTTTTGTTTTTAATCAAAGATGACATCGAAGGCCGAAACATTACAAATTACCCGAAATATCGGGCTAAGAGATTAAAAAATTGTGTGCGGCGGTTCATTAACGTTGGGTTTTGATTGTCTGATTGCTGATGGATTGGACTCTGTCTTCCCTACAAACAAATTTATACATAGCGCCGTCCTCTAAGCTTCCCTCCACAACCACTTGCTTGTCACGTGACGTGTAGTTGCTATTCCTTTTCGACCTTTGTAATTTTCTTTGTTTTTTATATTGAATATTATCCACGTAGTAAATCGAAGAAAATTTCGAATCTTTGACAGATCAACAATTATGCGGGATTCCTTCAAACGAAGAAACCGGTCCGAGCATCCCCGTTTGATTAACTCAACAGATTGATTCCAAATGTTGCAGTTGCATGTTCCATGGACGTTGCAAGACACCTTCCTGATCTTGCCTGTGTTTATATGTTAATTAATTCCTGATTCTGAATTAATATGTTTATCATGTGAATTTGTCAATGGTAGGCACTGTCTGATTTATGACATATTCATGTCGGAACAACATCATTTACGTACTTTAAGCTTTGACCGTTATAATATATGTTTGGCGTGTGTATTTCTAAGTTACTGGGGTATAATTAAATAACAAAATATATTCTATCAGATATGCCCTTAACCCATATCTGCACTCTCTTTACACATAAATATTGTAGGGCAGGTAAGATAATTATGCGGTAATTGTTTTATTTTATTTTTCGAAGAGCTGCCTGGTGCAGGCCAGGATTGAACCAGTTCATTGTTTAAGAGGACCAGTTCAATTTACACTGCAGATAAAATTGAAAATGCCAACCGCAAGCTTCAGAAATGGCGCCATTCAATGAAGAGTCAATAAAGGCGGAAGCAGCGGTGCCGTATGCATGCATACCTTGAATAGTACAGATTATATTATTAAAAGCAATAGGAGTTCCAGACAGATTCGGACAGCAAATTAGTTAGATAGCACATTACTGCATAATTCACATTTAGTAAATTTAATCTGAAACTGTAGGAAAATTATTAAAAAATAATATAAATTTTATTTATTTATTTATTTAATAAAAATCAAGAATAAAATAATATAGATCTATATAAATTTTAAATTTAAAAAATTTTCACTTTAAAAAATGTGTCAAAAAATAATATAAATTATATTTCAAGATCTCACCTAAAATTTTAAAATATTAAATTAAAATAGTTTTTTGACATATTATCAAAATTTTAATAATCAAATGACCACAAATTTAAATTTAATTATTTTTATTTATTTGATAAAAATTAAAGATACAATAATATAAATCTATATAAATTTCATATTTAAAAAACTATCATTTAAAAAAATATATTAAAAATAATATAAAAAATATTTTATCTAATAACTTCAGTTATTAAATTAAAATGATTATTTGATAACAGTTACGGGTTGATGGTTATATGCTGCTATATATCAATTATAAAATCACCTATAATTCTCATAATGAAAGTCTACTCGGGCTGGGAATAAGATGAAAAGGGAGAGGAAAGGCTACTTTATATATATAATATATCTATGCGCACATTTTCACATACGAAAATCATTCAGCCATATTTGTTGAGTAGAGATGATGATAGTTACGTGATGACAAACGATTGTTTCATGGTATTTTTACATGTTTGCCGAGGGGACCAACTTCAGCTTGATTGCTTGTGTTCGTAGCAACATAACAACCAAGGAATCCAAATATAAAGAAAAGAAGAGTTGAAAGAGAGAGTGGGCTATAAGATACATACATTCAACCTATATTATACATATATAGCATATAGCATGTTCTGAATGATGAGACTACATATCGAAAGATAGCATGGCAGGGGGAATCATGGCTTCGAAGATAAGCATGGGAGTTGGGGAGGGATATTATATTTCTTCGAATTGGTTGAAAACGATTAATAATCTTCATGGAGTATGATCTATTTTGAGGTGCAGAGCCATTGTAGTGGAGATCCTTTTCCTTTTTCCAGTTTCTGTAAAATTATTTAGGCCTGACAGAATCATGTTTCAATATATTGTTTTTGCTTAATAGTGGGAAACTAATCGTGACCAGCAGTTTTTGCACGCAACAGTGACCCTGCTGATCTCTGTTCTTATGAGAGGAGCTATCTAAAGCATTGCCCAAAAAAAAAATAAAAAAAAAACAATTTCTGGTTCCTATGTATAGCTAGCTTGCTTCAAAATAGCATAAGAAGATAGCAGATACTTTAAAGTGTTCTTGTATATTATAGTAGTGATTATTTTTTAAAATGATTTTTATTTGAAAATATATTAAAATAATATATTTTTTTATTTTTAAAAATTTATTTTTAACATCAATGTATTAAAACAATTCAAAAATATGAAAAAAAATTAATTTTTTATCCCACGGCCAGCGAGGTTGTTGTGAAACACAGTATAAGAAGCACTAATTAACCAAAGTTTGCAGCTAGCCTGTAATTAATTCTCAAGGTATTAATCTGTGCGGAGGGTGGGTGGGAGAATGAGAAAGGATTAGGAATTGGGATCTTTCTATCATTTTATGCGAGAGAGAAGCACTCATAATGTTTCTTGATTATGAGTTTATTTTATTTTATTTTAAAGCATTCTCTCACTGAGAGCAGCAAGGTATGAACTGGGTAAATGAAACGAGCTATTTCCAAGCCATTTGGTGAATTATTAACAGATGTGACAAGAATTGATAGTCCAACTACTTAAATTTGTTTATCTACATTTGCTTGGATTATAATGACCGGCGGCAATCAATAAAACCGTTCTTCAACATGTCATCTTGTATTCTAACTAGCAAGCTACCACCACCCCATGGGAGCTTAGAGACTGGAGCTGGACCCATGATCGGACCACAGCTACGCACTAGGGCACAGAGGCTGGTCAGGGCTGGGCCACGATTACTTGCTCCAGAATCTTAATGGGTGTTGTTTACGGGTAGAGTCAGGCTCCTGACGTGGATAGGAGCACATTTGGTTTCCTTATCTAAAATGACATAGTAACCTCTCGGAGCAATAAGAAAATGCCATACGACCTCTTCAAGCAGTGACGCTGTATCTTTTCTGTTTTTTTATTTTTCGTATCTCTGTTTTTCATAAAGAAACGCAACTTTTTTAGTCTTAAGCAAGGTTCTGCCGAGGAACCGGTCTTTCTACTGGTTTGGAATCAAGCTTTCCAATAGATGGGGGAATTACACTGAATTCCACGTCCATACATTGACCAGGTTAAAAGGTTAAAACGAGTCACTTAACAGAGAGCCACCACATCTGGCAATGCTTGCTCTACCCAGTCCATCCCGTCTTGAGATGAAGCTATGGAACATAGCACAGAAAGGTCAAAGGGAGGGAAGGTGTGCTGGATCATGGATGATTGCACAGATTTTACTACCACAAGCGATTCCCACTGGCTAAAGTTCACCGATAGAGAAGTTAGTCGAGGGCTAGTTAATAAATTGAAAACATGTATATTGACATTTGACACAGAGGAAGGAGGGTAAAACGGGATGGCTTCGGGGTTTTTATTTCTTGACAAAATGAGGCCTAATCTTGACCGAGTTTTAAGGCAACGGAAAAGAAAAAGGGACCATAAAATAGTGGCCATCTTTCGGCTAAAACTAATGGACCAAAAAGCACTCTAGCCCGAGAACATGTGAGCTCTTGATGAACCCACTTTGGAATTCTAGGTTCTCTCCATATTTTGAGGCCCGAATAAATCCGTGGCCCTAGGTCCTGGCGCTTTGGTTGATGCTGTGAGCCTGTGACGGCGTTATTCCCGCCACATGCAACCGTGGCTCGCAATAAGTTACAGGTAATCTTTTTATATTGAATTTTTATATAAACTAATATAGTGTATATATTATATTAGTTCTGTATATTTTTTATATTTTAATTTATAACAACAACTACTTTTTATAAGAAAATATAATATATATTAGCTTTTATGGTTTTAATAAATGTTCAATTTTTAAGAAATTATTAATCAAAAATATTTTAGAAATAATATTTTGATACAATAAAAATTTTATAATTATAACTTTATAATTTTTTTTGTAAAGTATTTTTATCTCATAAACTTTATTTTTATTCTAAATTCATTAATCTAATATTATATAAATATTAAAAATAAATTAAATTTTTATTAATAATAAATATATATTAACATAAATATAATAATACAACGTATAACTAAACTACTACAAGATATATTAAACTTATTAAACTAATAGTTATTAGTATTTGTTTCCTTTCAAAGAAAGTTATAAATTAGTCTTTTTAATTTTTTATTTTTTAAAATGAATTAAATAATTTTTTAGTTTAAGAAATAATTAATTAATCTCTTGTTTAAGATTAACTGTGCATAATTTAAAATACCTTTGTTTTAAAACATATCTAATCTTTTTATATTGAATTTTTATATAAATTAATATAGTGTATATATTATATGAGTTCTGGATATTTTTTATATTTTAATTTATAATAATAATTACTTTTTTATAAGAAAATATAATATGTATTAACTTTTATGGTTGTAGTGAATGTTCAATTTTTAAGAAATCATCAATTAAAAATATTTTAGGAATAATATTTTGGTATAATAAGAATCTTATAATTATAACATTATAATTTTACAAAATAATTTATTTTGTAAAAGTATTTTTATCTTATAAACTTTATCTTTACTCTAGATTTATTAATCTAATATTATATAAATATTAAAAATAAATTAAGCTTTTATTAATAATAAGTATATATTAACATGAATATAATAATACAATATGTAGCTAACCAACTACAAGATATATTAAATTTATTAAACTAATAGTTATTAGTATTTTTTTCCTTTCAAAGAAAATTATAAATTAATCTTTCTAATTTTTTATTTTTCAAAATGAATTAAATAATTTTTTAATTTAAGAAATAATTAATTAAACTCTTGTTTAAGATTGACTGTGCATAATTTAAAATACATTTGTTTTAAAACATATCTTGTTTTTTTTTATCTGTTTTTCCATATTATCTGTTTTTATTTCTATTTCTTAAACAGAAAAAATTAATTATAAAAGCATGAAATAGGTGAAAAAGACCAAGTTAGAAATAC